ATTTTCTACTTTTAACTTTTTGTTATAACAGGCATAGCCAGTTTTGCATCCTGGCACAAAACATTTGTTTGGCATTTTTTAACAAAATAAGAAAGTATATACGAAATATTATTAATCAATCCACAGACCAATAAGGGAGTCTTAACTCTTAAATACAAACAATTATGTAAATTAAAATTAAAAATAGAATATTATCAATTACTTATACTACTTATATTAGGTTATATATTATTTTAACTGATAATATATTCTATTCTCTATTGTAAATATTATATTTTCTCTACATTATGCTTAATATTAAATTTTTTTTTTTGTTACTGTATATCAATATGACAATATCATATAGGTACCTATAATTATGATTTTTATTTGGGTGTACTTGTGTCAGTAGGTAGTAGTATATATTTTGAGCTTTTATTAACAGTTTAAATTCGTCCTTATACTTATTGTACGTAGATATTACTAATTCCATTTTTGTACATATAAGTGTCAATGAATAAATAAACATATAAATATCATATAATAAATATGCATTTTATTTAAATCAATACATTTGTACGATATGGCTACATACAGTGCTCGACTTGGGCGGGAAGGCATGGGAACTGAGCTCCTACTATTACTATTAAAATCAAAAGCTAGTATAATACTAGCTTTTGATTTTAATTAGCGTTCCCATACTACATTTTCCTAAAAGAACGCACGGGTACGCACTACGCACTACGCAATATAAAATATAAATGACAACGAATAGGTATTCGTACGGTTCAATACGAACATTCTTATCAAATTTGAACTTGAATATGAGAATTCAATTTTTACCACGAATTAAGATACACAGGAAATATATAGAAGATATTTTTTTCCGATTAATAAGTACACAATCTATAAAATTAGTTTTACCACGGGTAAATATATTATATATTTAGCCATGAGTTTTACCCAAGGTAATTATAATACATTTTAGTGCCACTTCACTATCGAAATAACGATTGATGAACTATCGAAATAAAATGGTGGCCGAGAGTGGAACCAATCAGATTAGCTTATAGTCACGGACTAAGATATACAGGACTGGAAACGATAGACTGGGGGGGTGTGGTGGTATGGCTCTCAAATGTTTCGGTTCGGTACAATCGTGACTGTAACTGCTACCTGATGTACTACACAACTACTAAATTGAAGCTATTAAAAGTACAAAACATTAATTCGTATTTTAAGAAACTACCTATTTAAAGACTAAAGTTTATAGTTTTAGTTTAAATTGTTTAAAATACATTTTAAAAATGCCTCGGCAATGTTCCGTGATTTTGTGTAAGAGTTTAAAAGAAAAACATGTAACATTGTTCAAAGTTCCTGCTACTGATTTCCATTCTTGGAATGAAATTATTGTCAGAATAAATGGGGCTTATAATAAACATAAAGTGTCCTACGTTTGTGCTGAACATTAAAAAGACGTACTTACACAAATTATTTCAAATTTTATAATCATGAGAATGCAACAGTATTCATTAATAACAAATAAAAATGCTAATAAACTTAATGCAAAAAAAAAAAAAGCTAGCTAAATTAGTAAATACATAGTAATAAATAATTATTAACTATGTTCTAATATTTGTATATAATATTTAAGATTATTATAAAATAATATATTAATATGTATTATTATTTTAAAATAATTTATGAGTTATTTTATACACAACCCTTTATTCGAGAATAAAATAATTAATTTAGTACTAAAATTAGTATACAGTACCTACTAAGTTTCACTAAAATCACTATATTATCTTTTTCCTGGTTTATATTCATAAATCCAAGCCTTTATCAAGTCCACTAATTACTTTATTACAGTTTTTACTTTTTACTGTTCTTGAAGCTCCTTATTTTTGGGGTGAAATAAAACAAAAGTCAAAATGTTATGAGCACAACAAACTAATCACCAAGGCTTTAAACTTAACTTACATGTTTCTATATTAACTTAACTTAACGAGTTAAAAAAAAAGGTAGTTAACTTGCCCAGCCTTGCTATAAACTACCCATATTACCTAAGTTAAAATTATTGTTAACATTTTAAAGCATGAAAAAAATAATATAAAATGTAATGATGTATTACTTGTCAAACTAAAAGAGATAAACCCAAACTCGAACAGACAAGACGTGGCAAAAAAAATTAATTCATTACGCAGTTGCTTCCGCAAGGAGTATAAGAAAGTAGTCGCATCAATGAAATCGGGCGCTGGTACAGATGATATCTACAACTTACAAGCCCAACTTATGGTATTTTGACTCATTGATGTTTCATAAGGACCACGAAATGCCAAGATCGAGCATCGGTAGTGATTGTCCAGAATTCATTGATACTCTTAGTCAGGTAAATATATTAAGAACTTATATACTTATTACTTGTATAGTATATAATAATTATATAAGTTATGTATGTCACACGACACAAAACAAATAAGATAATTTCCTTCTCGTCAACATACTGAAATTCAGTCTTGTTAAGAATACTTTTCAAATGTATTCAGAATACGTATTTAAATACTTGTTATCATTAGTATTTAAAATACGTATTCAAATACTTCCTTTTAAAAGTATTTGAATATAAATACAAATACTTTTTAAAAGTATTCAAAATACTTACAAAATACTTTTTTTTAGTTCAATAAATGTCATATTAAAATGTTAATTTTATTAATAAATAATAATTAATATATATAATTAAACACTATATGCAAATATATAGGTATTTAAACTTATTTATAAACGTTTCAATAACTTAATAATACTTTAATAAGTACAAGCAGGTATAAGATAATAGTCAATAGATAATTATTAATTAATTACTTAATGTTACGGTAGAGAGGAGCAGACGGGGGTTTCAGTCATTCTGTTATCACTTATCTGATTGTGTTTTGGGGAAACCTTATTTATAAATTCTCATTAAGGGCCGATTTCACCAACACAGTTAATCACGATTAACGTTAACCGGAGTTTTAATCGGCCGAATTTGGCCGGTTAAATATCTGTTATCAGCCCATTAAGCGTTAACCGTGATTAACTGTGTTGGTGAAATCGGCCCTAAGACAGTCATTAGTCAAAACTATTATCATTATAGAATAATAGAATAATATTTTAGAAACAAAATTTAAAATAGTATATTACGAAAAATTTGTAATTATTGAAATTTCGAGTTGAACACTAGAATAAAAGTATTTAGTATTCTCGAATAAAAATACAAAAAAAAAGTATTTTTAAAGTATTTGAAAATACACGAGTCGAAAGTATTTGAAAAGTATTTAAAATACAAAAAAAGTATTTAAATACTAGTATTTAAATACAAGTATTCGAATACTTAACAAGACTGCTGAAATTATATTTTATAATTTATAAATAATAAAAACAAAAAAGAAAGCTTAAAATAAAAATGTTTCATTTATTAATACGTTTTTAACGTTTGAACTTCTTTGATAGATAATTAAAAAAAAAAAGATAGCCTACAAGTATTGTTATTAATCATTAACAAATACAATGTATAGTATAACTATAATAATATAATATAATATTGCGTACAGGTATGTAATATTATTATACAAATAATAATTAAATTAGAATAACTTAAATCTTAATTATAAACAAAAAATATATATTCTATAACTAAATACCAAATAAAATTAAAATAATAATAGAAATCCTGAATTTACAATAAATGTATAAATGCGTACATCAAATAACAATGTAGATAAATAATATTCGGTGTGACCATTTAACAAAGTAATTATTTTTTGCAAACAAGATATAAAAATAAAATAAAATAAGTGTCTTGTATGGAGAATGTAGTATAATGTTGATATTTTTTGAAAAGTGTTAAAATAAATAAACATGTAGGTAGGTACCTAATAACAAAAATTCGCGATAAGTATAAGAAATTTTTTTTTTAGAACAACGATAGCGATGAAGTCAGTCAAGAATTTCAGGAAACAGATGCAAATTTACAAATATAATCTAGTACTGTTTCTCCATGTCTTATAACTAATAGCTCATTGACCAAAAATAACGATCGTAAAAGAAAAAATCATTCACAAGAGATGAATATCAAGGCTGATGAAGTGTTAACTTAAGTTGGAGAGAAACTTAAGTTTTCAAATCCTGAAGATGCTCATGATGTAACTGGTAAAAATATTGCAGGAAAATTACGAACTTTAGACCCCATTATGAGGATTTATGCAGAAAAAATAATTTATGATGCCTTGTTCGAAGCCCAGTTGGGCACCTTAAATAGATATGCACGTATTGAAATTCCGCAAATACCAGATCAAAATGCTCCAAAATCAGCAGTCAACAACTCAATTACTGACAAATCCATACATATCTCATGTACATCATCGCCATTGTTTTTTCAAGGTACTGAACAAAATGTTGAGCACGTCTATCAAAATCTACAGCCCGCACAATCGCGCTTATTTTTAATTTCAAATCTAATTGATGAAAATCAATCATACAAAAACGGACAAGAAACACCAGGAAATTATGTAGGCGAGTTCTTGTATTTTAAATAAATTGAAGTGTATTGCATTTAATGCACTTATCAGTTTTTATGTATTTTAAAAGGTATAAACTTTACAAGTCATAACGGTTTTTATTTACTTTGAAATCAATTTTTACGAAAGTTAATGGTTTTATTTTCAATTTTAATACAGAAGTTAAATTTTTTTTTAATCATAAAAAGTAAATGTTTTGTTGTTTTTATACCAAAATACGTTAAATAAGTAAATTAAGATAAGTTTTTTTTTTAAACGTAACTAAAATTTAAACTTTTTTTTGTTGTTTTTAAAAAAGTTGTTTAAAAAAGTTGTTTTTAATAAAATTTAATTTTAAAAGGTTGAATTTTTTTTATAATATGTTATTGTAAAGTTTTAGTTTTAAATATTATTCGGTATTGTTGTTTTTACTAAAACATTGTTTTAAATAGTGAGATTAGTAGTTACCTACCTAATTTATTAATCCTTGCCTGCTGTTACGCGATTATGTTGCCATGCAACACACCCTTCTTCATTGAAATACTTCAAAAATATTTCACGTACTTCCTCGGCTTCTTTTCCAGCATGACGGTTATGTCCACGTTGTAAATTCGTTAAAATAAGTCCCTCTTTATCTTTATTTATATTTCCAGAATTGTCATTATATTCATTAGACAACATAAACGAATCTTTACCATTTCTTCGTAATAAATTATGAAGTGTGCAACAAGCTAACACTGCTCTTTCAATATTTTCTAATTTCATGTTAATAGGAGTATGAAAAATGCGAAATCGTGCAGATAAAATCCCAAAGGCATTTTATACTACATTTCGAGCTCTTGATAGCCGGTAGTTGAATACTTTACGTTCATAATTTAGTTCCTTTTGATTTTACGGTTTTAAAAACTTTGGCTTTAATGAAAAAGCCCCATCACCACTAAAAACATAAGGTAAATTATTTTTACTTCCTTGAAATTCACACGGAGATGGAATATTTAATGTGTTATTTTTAAGCTTATTATAAAAATTTGTATTTTCAATAACACCTCCATCTGAGACACGACCATTAGTCCCGAAATCACATAATATAAATTCGTAGTTGGCGTTTACAATCGCCATTAAAACTAAACTAAAGAATCCCTTATAGTTGTAATAAAACGAACCACTTTTTGGAGGACAAGCTATGGACACATGTTTACCATCAACTGCTCCCAAACAGTGAGGAAAATTCCATTTTGTCTCGAACTTTCTTGAAATTTCTTTCCATTCATCTTCTGAATTCGGAAACTACATAACGTTAAAAACGAACAAAATTAATATTACATTTAACAACTAGATCGACAATGATATAAATAATTATATGAAAATAAAAATACTAATTTACTTTTAAATAATCTCTCCACAGAACTTTACAAATAGCAGTACAAGTTTCAGGTATTATCTGTCCAAGTAATTGCGGAGATATAGCTACAGAGTACTTTAAATCTTGCATATTTCTTCCAGTCGCCAAAAATCGAAAGGTTGTTGACAGCCTCTCATGTGGAGTGATAGCCGTTCTCATTACAGTATCCTGTTTTTTTATAAGTGGTGTTACCAAATTTAAAATTTCGATGTATATGTGTCCTCGTCCATACGCTAATAGTTTCGCCAGTCATCTGGTTCTAGGCGTAAATCGTTTAATACATTTACATGAAAGTAAGTGCTTCGTTTTTGCAACCAATTTTTTACCCATTTTGAGCGCTTGTTTGACTTGTTTGGTTCATACTTCAACTTTGTACGGATAGCAATAGCAGTAGCAATTAAACACAAATCGTCGGACATCATGAAGTCGCCACATCTAACTGATCAAAGGTACGAATCGTGTGTAGTGAATCACGAGCTCCGACATACCTGAACACACTTACTTGAACTGAAGTTTGAACGTGTGTACGCAGCTTAAAAGTCTTCCTTCGAGCGAAGGGTGGCGTACTCTGGTGTTAAATTCTGAACTACCAAACTGCCGTGATTTTTTGCTCCAATATTGCACCATTGAAAGATACGCGGTGTCACCTTATCTTCACTACATCGTGGGACCTACCTAATATGTATATTGCTCGACATTGCTGGTCAACGTAGGCCGCCGGTGTCGCATCCAGTTCGCCGCATAACGGTCTAGCGAAACGATATTGTTGTGCGCTCGCAAATCGCAGTTTCGGTTTTTTAAATTGTTTTAATTGTGAGCGCAAATCGCCGCAACTTTGTATATTGTTTTCATATAATATTTTATAGTATGCCCGCTAATCGGCACTTAGCGAGTCGTCGTAAATAATTATTATTGTTATTTTGAAGCTGTGCGCGCTAATAGCCACGGGCATATTATTTTGAACCAAAGGCGCTATTCGCCGCAGATTTACTACTGTACCTACCTATTTGAGGGCGCAATTCGTGCATTTTTATTATATTATTTTTAAATGGACTTTATTTAATTTTAGGTAGATAATGTAACTTTGATAATATTATATAGATTTTGGTATAATATTTTTAAAATATTTATTTGAATTTGTCTTTGATATCAATTTATTAGTTTAGTCTTAAAATGTTTAATATTAGATACCAAGGCATTTATATTTATATTTATTTATATCTTGGCAGTATTTTTACTTTATTTCGTTATTAAACTTATTTACGTATACCGAAATAGACTGCAACTAGTTGTTCGCCAGTTTTAAAATTCAATCAAATCACGTTGTGCAGCCCCGGCCCTTTTCGAAAAATTGGAAAATTTTTGCACCAATATTTAGCATGCAATTAGCATGAATTTGCACGACTGTCCCCGGAATTCGCACGACATTTTTTAATGGTTAAAAAACCGTTTTAGTGGTTTTACCGTTGCGCCAGCCCATTATAGAAATTTTCTGATTTTTGTGATTTCAATACTGCCAATATTTAGCACGTCATTAGCATGAATTTGCACGACTGTCCCCGGAATTCGCACGACATTTTTTAATGGTTAAAAAACCGTTTTTGTTACCAGCCATTGCGCCCAGGGCAGGGCGGGGCAGGGCAGGGCGTCCATAATGGACATTTTGTGATTTTTTTAGATTTCGATACTGCCAATATTTAGCACGCCATTAGCACGAATTCGCACCATCAACAGGCAATAGCAGACGTTGCACTTATTTTTTTAATGATTTAAATGGTTATTATGGATATTTCATGGTTTTTGCCATTTTGAAAACTTGCAACGTTTTGCTCCCAGTAACCCATTATTAAATTTATGTTACTGCATAGAATAATATATTATTATAGTTATAATCAATTACTTATTTAATCATAATTTTAATGACATATATTATAGGATTCATTGTTTTAGCTTTTAATGAGTACATTTCCTATAGTCTAAAGTCTTTAGTCTTTTTAAGTAACGGTCTTTAGACTAAAGACCGTTACTTAAAATTTATTTATTGTTGATATGAAATTAATAAACGTCAAGATATAATATTGAAAATGTTTTTTATATAACCTAATTTTTTAACTATGCATTTTGATGCATATTATTTTATCGTACAGCTTTGAATAGTTGTATCTTTTTTAGGATACCTAACTACCAATATTTTTGTTATACGAACATTTTCTGCTAGGCGTTTAATATTGTACCTATCTATAGTTAATTATTATACTGATGAATAGGTAGTATAAACGAATATTATTTTATTTTAATTTAAATATTTAGTATACCGTTAAAATGAAATATACATAAACCATTTTTAATTTTTATGTATATACTGAAAAAACTGTCACTGCAGATTTTTTTAATTCTTGGGAAATACTTAAGTGTTTCCTAATTATGTAGGTTTATACTTTATTGGATGATGTATGTAATTGCATTGTTCATGCTTAATTTTATTTACGACGCACCGATTGTTGTAATATACAAAAATAAACATTATTAATTATTAAACTACTAACTAGATTACTTAAGTAAATATTTATGTAATGTGAAACAAAATTTAGTATAAGTCTAATCCAGAAAGTGTTAGTAGGTGTAGCAAAATAGAAACTACTAACTAGTATAGCGATACTATTAAAGTGAGATGCGTAGTCAAATTTGTGTTTCCTTGAGCGGCGGTCGCTGTGGTCTGTGATACTATTGGATAAAACCGTAATAAAGTGTTATATATTAATTATTGTATGTGTTTTATAGTGTTTTTGGAAGTGATCAGTGTATATGACGATATATATATATATAACAAAATTCCTCATCATGTTTGTGAACGGTGCAATGCACACGGGCCTGCAAAAACCAAAACATACAATCTAAAATTTGTCCTTTTCAAATGTTAAAATTTATAAAAATTTAACTGATAACAATATTAAAATCATTTACTTTAATAGCAAGGTATAACTACCAACTTTTCTATAAGAAAAGTTGTATGACCTTTTTTAAAAATTATTTTAATATTACGACATTACTAGCCGCATAATCGCAATTTTTAAGCGCAAAAAAAATACTTCTTTAGCCCCCCCCCCCCCATATGGTGAGCGGTGACACGAAATTAGTTACAAATAAAATCATTGTTGATTGAAATAATAAATATTAATAATTGTTTAAAATATAGTGTCAAAGATTAATGTATGACATTTTTAAAATTGATAAGAATTTTCATTAAAATCCACAGATATATGTATGTTTATATATCTGTGTTAAAATCTAAACGACGGCTGACGCTCTAGCTGATATCGCGGTTACATTCACGGTTATATATAATTTTTATAAATTAGAAAGCCTAGAAATGCTATTGATAGTTTCACAAAACTAAACTTTGATGAAAGTTCATTTTTCATAGACAAATACAAGGTAACAATTAGAATATTTAAATAATATAATAATCAGGGCTAGGATTTGTATGCAATAAAAATGGTAAAATATGCATTTTATTTACCAAAAATATACATTTAAATTTTTATAAGATACACACAAAATTATAGTTATAAGAAAAATTTTTATTTGTTGAAATACATCAGTGATTGGCTATTTGTCTTAATATATCTAATATAATTGAGAAAAAAAAAAATTATAATTTATGATTCACATTCACATTCATTACGTGTGCTACATGCTACGAGTTACAACCACATATTTTTTTAAATTTTTGAAAATGAATGTCAAACTATTCAATCTTTTATTGAATGCCTATTGTACCCTAGAATTGTATTTATAAAAATAAAATTTATGTTTGACAAAAAAATCAAGTTTTATGAAATATACTATGAAACATTCATTTTCCGCATTCTTATAATCAAAATATGCAATATAATTAATTGTATTCAATACATGCAATAAAATGCATTTCATGAAAAATATGCAAAAACGTGCTAAATAAAAATACCACCATTTATTTCATCATGAGGTGATTCGTGGACATTACTGACAAAATCAATAATCAAAAATCGCAAAAAAAAACATGCTGTTGCATATAAATCCTAGCCGTGTTAATTATAATACCAACTTATCTTGTCTTAATATTTTCAAATAAATTCAAATTCATGTTAAATTAGATTTAACTACTTAACACTTTTTATCTAAGTGGCTCTTGTTATAATATTTTTTTAAATATTTAATTTATTTTATATATATTAAGACTTCACACTAGGAGGAGATATACCATATAAGTCAATTGGAAAAGGATCTCTAAGAGGCCGGAGAATAATAGATACAGTACATTATAGAACACCGAACACAGAGTGTTCTGTGGGAGCTATTGAAAACCAAGGTAAGTTATAAT